GTGACCACTAACATTAGATGACCAGAGGGGGCAACCAGGGGAAGAGACTGTTCCCAAGCGGCCAGCTTCAGGTGTGTATCACTGTCCTTTCTTGGGTCTGGGGCTGTCAAGGGCACTGTGTGTGGGGGAGAAATTTCTTGGGGAGACCAAAGAGGCTTACCTAGCCCCTGAAAACCTCCCCATTGAACCGCGTGAGAGCTGGAGGGATAACAGAGCCAAGTTCATGACCCCAACACACCAGTAAAGAAAGCCGAGCACCTCTTCTTCACCTTGGGGGCTAGACCAAGGCTTTACCATCACCTGCCCATTGCTGTTTCAAGTGCCACCAGGACTGGAGCAGGGTCTTCTTCCCTCAAGTCCGGCTAGCCTGTGGGACAACCTGCCAAGTCCCAGTGCCTTTAGGATGGTGTCTTGCTGGCGGGGGTGGCCCCAGTCTTCTTTGGTGCTCCCTTCAGCAGTGCAAGCTTCTTAGGCAGGCTGGAGCTGGCTTTCATCACCACGTCATGCTCAATCTTCTTCCGGATTCCCACTTCCAGGCTCTATGGGGTGACAGAGCAAGCCCTCACTCTCCTTAGCCAACATACACACACCTTGCTTTGTTCTTTGAGAATGGCTTCAGGCTCAGAGCCACATGCCTCGACTTACCACTACAGGCCTGTGCTGCCATGCTCAGGTCAAAAGCAAACTGAATTCTTCCATCTCTGTGTCTCTGTTCATGTATGTTTTACAGATGGGGAAACAGAGGCTCCTGCATTAAGCAGGCACCTGCCTAGGCTCCAAGCTAGGAGTGACAGTCCCTTCTGTCCCATGACTCACCTACTTTCCTGGGGTTCCAAGTAAGGCCATGAGCCAATTAAGTCACTGACTGGGAACTTGGTCTCTACCCCACCCACTCCTGGGACCATGATGGCTGCGTGTGGTGAGCACAGGAGTTCTGAGGAAGATAACACTGTGTCAGTCATGAGAATATGAGAAAAAGTACTGCTAATAAGAAAAGATTCCAGGGACAATGTATGCTGTGCGAGCACATTGAGTGATGTCTGGGAGAACAGGTCTAGCAGTGGGACAGAACCAAGGATGAAAGGCGGCGAGGAAGAGGAGGTGAAGAACTAGAGCTTTTTCTGAGCAGGAAGCAACCATGAAAGGTTCTGGGCAGAGGAGGAACCAGTTTTGGGCACAGGCAGGCACTTCAGCTGCTGTAGCAGGAAGAGGGTAGAGTTGGCTAGGGTGGGTGTGAAGTGAGGGGCAGAAGTAGGTAGACTCTGGATGTACGCTCAGAAGCATTAAACTGGATATGCGTCAAGGATGACCTTTAACCTGGGAGGGCAAAAGCAGTGGGAGGAACTCACTTAGGACCTGAGAGTGGGTACCCCATGGAGAAGAGCAGGCAAGTACCCTGCTTGAGGAAATCTCTGGGAGACAGAATGGGCTTAAGAGTTAAACCAGATTGAAGCTTCTAATTTTCTTATTCATTAAAAAAAAATTTTTTTTGTGTGTCTGAGTATTTTGCCTGCATGTATGTCTGTGTACCACATACATGCGATGCCTGTAGAGACTAGAAGAGGGCACTGGAGAGGCCCTGGGACTGGAGTTAGAAATGGTTGTGAGCTGCCATGTGGGTACTAGAAACTGAACTGAGGCTGCGTGGAAGAGCAGCCAGTGCTCTTACCACTGTCCAGCCCCTGAGTCTCTAATGTCTCCACCAGCTCAATCCTTCCTACCTGGACTGCTAGGTGACTCTAATAATACCCCTGTGTCTGATGAACAGCCCCAGACCCAAGAAAGGGCTATCAAGGCTAGTTCAAGGCCAGCCTGAGCTAGAGTCAAACCTTGTTTCAAAAAGAGGGGAGTGAGTGTATGGTGCACGCTTTTAACCCAGCATTCAGAAGGCTGTGGCAGAAAGACCTCTGTAAATTCTAGGCTAGAAATTCTAGTGAGTTCCAGATCAGCCAAAGCTATGTAGTAAGACACTATCTTAGGAAAAAAAGGGGGTAGGGAGTGGACAGGCTGAGAATGAGGCTTCATTAGTAGAGTGCCTGACTAACACTCACAGGTCTGAGTTCAATCCACAGCATTACATAAACAGGGCTCAGTGGCCCATGTCAGTAACCTGGGCACCCGGGAGGCTAGGCGATATATATACAGCTCTTGGTTAGCCTAAATTGGTGTGACGCTGTGTCTCAAAAGCACAAAGCAGACAGAGCAAAAGATAACAAGGGGTTGGAGAGCTGGCTCAGTAGTTAAGAGCACTGGACACCCTTCCAGATCCCCAGCTCCCACACTGCAGCCACAATCATCTGTGACCACAACTCCGGGAAATCTGCTCCAGACAAGCAGTGGTGTACAGACATGCAAAATACTCCGACAGATAAATAACATTTTAAAAAGGGAGTATACAGAACTGGGCAGTGGTGGCACAAGCCTTTAATCCCAGCACTTGGGAGGCAGAGGCGGGTGGATCTCTGAGTTCCAGGCTAGCCTGGTCTACAAAGTGGGTCTAGGACAGCCAAGGCTACACAAGAGAAACCAAGTCTCAAAAAACTTAACCTACCTACCTACCTACATACATAATAAGTAGATGGAGGCTATGACCTAGAGAGATGGCGCAGTAGAAGAGCACATACTTCTCTCACAGAGGACCTGAGTTCTGTTCCTAGCACCCAGGTCGTGTGCATACCACCTGCAACTCCAGGACTGATGCCCTGTGGTGGCCTCTGTGGGCACCCGCACTCAGGTGCACACACCACTAATTAAAACAGTATTATTTTGGAGGCTAGAACATCACTCAGCTGTTAAAAGCACTTGTTACTCTAATCTGTAGACCTGGCTGGCCTTGAACTCAGAGCTCCAACTGCCTGAGCCTCTCGAGCGCCGGGATTAACCGATTACGCTACCACGCCTGTCTTTAGCACTTCTGACTCTTTTAAGACCAGCACACCCATGATGGCTCAACATCGTCATTAACTCTAGTTCTAGGAGACTGGACTTCCTCTTCTGACCTCTTTGGGTACTAGGCACATATCAGACGGATGCAACACACAGGCAACACTCATACACATCAAAATACAACAGCAACAACAGAAAACCGGGTGCTAGCCTATCTGCTGACAGTTCCTAACGCGCATCTGAAGCCCTCAGAAGCTAAGTGAGGGGTCTGGACCCATCGAACACAGGAGGACACAGACACGGAGTTCTCGTCAGCCCGCTATCCCGGGTCACCGACCTTTGCATCATTCCACTCACCTTCTTCAGCTTTTGCTGCTGCACGACGCGCGCCTTCTTGGGAGCGATGATTCGACCTAGCGGAGAAACACCAGCCGATGAGCCTGGGCGATGAGCCGATGAGCGAGTACGTCGCTCCCTCCTCCCCACCCCGTTACTCACCGCCTTTCCGCGGCCCGTGGCTCCGCTCCGCCGCCGCCGCCTTGCTTTTAGGTTTCTGCGCCTGGAACTTGCGCTGTCCCTGCGCCATGGTCTACCACGAGCCGGAAGAGGCGGTGCTAACGAGCAGGAAGCCGGAAGTCACGCATAGAGTCCAGGCCTTACGGGACGCAGAGCGGCACACTTAAACAGCTGGCCAAAAAATTCGAAGGAAAATTATGGTACCATTTTCAGGGGTCAGGTCACATTTGTGTATTATAAAACATGGTATTTTGTGCTTTTTATACAAATAAAAAGTTTGCCTCGGTGTGGCAACCGACGAACTCAGTTTTGGAGGAAAATTAAAGGAGTGCAAAACAAATAATAAAACAACAACAACAAAAAAAATGAGTAATAATGAGATGGCTCAGTGGGTAAAGGTGCTTGCCGCCATGTCTGATTACTTGAGTATGATCCTGAATAGTGCGCGCGCGTTTAAGCTCAGCACTTGGGAGGCAGAGAACTGACTCCTGTAGACTGTTTCCACTCAAGAGAATAAATAAAAGTGTCACTAAAAAAAACAAACAAACAAACTCTTAGGCAATGATTAATTTTACATTAATCTTGCAGCTGTGCTGGGGACAGAACGCAGCTTCATACTTGCAGCAAAAGAGCTGTCTCTGCCAAATTAAAAAGATTTAAAATATATTCCTGGTGCTCATTGTTTATGGACCTGAGCTGCAGCCAGTGTCCATGAGTGATTGTGCACATACCTATTATCCCAGTGCTGAGGAGGCTGAAGACGATCCCCGCAGCCTAGTCTAATTGTTGAGGTTCAGAGATTCTCTCAAAATATAAAGCAAAAGTTGTATGGGCTCATGCCCTTTACCCTTCACTCAGGAGGAAGAGGCGGAGGCAGAGGCAGAGGCAGGTGGATCTCTGAGTTCGAGGTCAGCCTGGTCTACAGATTAAGTTCAAAGACAGCCAGGGCTACACAGAGACTGTCTTTAAAAGCACACAAAATCTTGACTATTAAGCTACGGTGTCCTCTTTTAAAGTTGCTCCTGCAGAGAGAACCTGGGTTCGGTTCCCAGGATCCACATGGCAGCTCACAATCATCTGTAATTCTAGTTCAAAGAGATCCAGTGCCCTTTTCTGGCCTCAGAGAGCACCAGATACTTGAATGTAAAACACTGACACATGAAAATAGCCAGACAGCAGTGGTGCACACACTTAAGTCCAGCACTTAGGAGGCAGATATCTCTGAATTTGAGGCCAGCCTGGTCTATAGAGAGAGCTCCAGGACAGGCAGGGCTACAGGAGAAACCCTTATGGAAAAACAAAACACAAAATCTTCAAATGTAACTAAGAGACCATCTTGATTATCCCTACATTTTTTTTTTTTAATCTGTTGCCCAATGTAGCCTAAAACCCAAAGAAATCCTCCTGCCTCAGACTCCCAGAACTAAGATTACAGGTGTGTAACCCATCTGGCTTTTCACACCATGCATAGGTCATTCAAAGGATAACTCTGTGATGTAGACTGGGCGGCTCTGCTGTGGATGCTGGGACTCTCCAGAGCTGGGAAATGTCTGCTCCTGCAGCTGGAACAGGGCTATGGTTGATGATTAGCTTCTGGGTAACCATTTGAGAACTTTATTATAAAACCAGAGGAAAGCAAGGCAGGGCAGGGAGGGCCAGCTAGTCACATCTGGGCACTGTCGAAAGTCCGTTTCTCTGAGAAGACAGAGGCGCTCAGGGCTGTCCGGAGTTCCTCAGGGGCAAAGACACCCAGCTCAGTGATGATGCCACCGGTGATGAGCTCGTGAGGGGTGACATCAAAGGCAGGATTCCAAACCCGGATTCCTGCAGGGGAGAGAGGACACAGAAGGTGGGGGTTTTGCTCTTAGAACTCTCTGTTGTCATTTGTCCTCACCACAGTAATTCTTGGGCTAGAGACTGCTGAGAATCTAGGGGTTCACATATATCAAAGAGCTCATAAGAGTGCAGGCACTGAGGTGGGTAGTACAGCTTCTTCCTGTTGCCTCATAGATTTCTACCTGACTCTTGCCTGCTCCTAAGATTTTAAGAATTCCAGAATCCACCCCAGGGCCTTTGCACTGAATCAACTGTGGGTGTGCACTGTTGCTACATCTGTTTTTCTGGTTCTGGGGTGGAGCCCTTCACAGATGTTTTGAAAATCAATTTAAAAAACATAATTACTTCTCTAAGACAGGGTCATACATGTAGCTTGGGCTGGCCTCAAATTTTCTATGTAGCCAAGGCTGGTTTTGATAATCCTTGTCTTCCTGTCTCTACCTGCTGAGTGGTAGGTTTACCACGTGTATACCACCAAAAATAGCAAATTATTTTAAAATGCCATTTATTTTTTGAGACTTTCGTATGGGTATATGATGATTTTGATTGCTTTTAATTGAAAATGTTTTTTATGTAGTGTTGTGGTTGAATCTCAGGCATTGCACATGCTGGCAAGTGCATCTTTGGTCCTCTTTAAAATGTTTATTTTGAGATAGAGTTTATATTGGCTAGGTGATCTTCCTGCCTCAGCCTCATGAGCAGCCACCAGGGTCCAGGTTTCTGATACTTTGTTTTTGAAACACGGCTTTTCTGTATAGCCCTGGCTGTTCTGGAGCTCACTCTGTAGAACAGGCTGGCCTCAAACTCAGAGCTCCACCTGCCTCTGCAAGTGCTGGGATTAAAGGCATGTACTGCTACCACAACCTGGCTCTTTTTGAGAGTGAGACTGGGGTCTCACTCCATAGCCCAGGCTGATCCGGAAGTCTCAGCAGCCCTCCTGCCTCAGCCTCCCCAGTGCTGGCATCACAGGTATGTACCACCACTCCTGGCTGTTTATGCAGACATTTGTCTAGGCAGAAACTTGTTGGTTTTAGGCTTTTCTGATGTTTTTTGGCAGGCCTCACTTGGTAGCCTATACTAACCTGAAACTCCCTTGTACCATTTGGCCTTGTGTGGCTCCTCCTGTCCGGGCTCTGGAGTATTGGGATTCAGGCTGCACCTCCACACCCAGCAGTATTCTTGACATGTGTGCACTTGCTCTTCTTGCATTAAAAGACTAGCAGCCAACCTCAGTTGTGGTTCCTTAGGGACCATCCAACTTATTTGCTCTTTTTAAGATTTATTTATTTATTTACACGAATGCTCTGTTTGCACATACACATGAAAGTTAGTAGAAGGCATCTGACCCCATCACAGATGGTTTTGAGCCACCATGTGGTGGCTGGGAATTAAACTCAGAACCTCTGGAAGGGAAGAGAAGCCATCGCTCCAGTTCCCATCCAACTTATTTTTTGAGACAGGATCTTCTACTGAACCTGGGTTCCCTGACTAGACTCGGCTGGCCACAAGCCCCAAGGATCTGCCTTCTCCGCCTCTCCGTTGCTGGGATCACCTGTGCCACCACAGGCTTTTCTAGACACCAAACTGAGGTCCTGATCCCAACCCTCCACCAGTGAGTGCCATCTCTAGCCACCCAGTACTATTTACCAAGCCTGACCTTGGATCTAACCTCCACCATCAGAATCCAGCTGAGGAGCTTGAAAGTGCCACGCAGTTCATGCCACTGAAGGCCACAATACCCAGAGTGCCAACCCCACCTTACCCTGTGCTGCAATCCTGACTCCATTGACATCAGTCAGCTCCTGGCTGGGGCGTTCCTCTATGACAATCTCCTTTCCGGTCTCTAGATGGAGGTCACAGGATGAGCTGGGGGCAGCCACGTAGAAGGGGACACCGTGGTACTTGGCGACAATGGCCAGCTGGTAGGTGCCTATTTTGTTGGCTGTGTCTCCGTTGGCAACGACACGGTCAGCTCCCACCACCACAGCTGGGGAATGGGTGGAGAGTTGGGGAGGTTACATGCATGGCTCTGGATTCCCAAGGTGCTACCCACCCCACCATGTCTAGCCCACTGACCTGACACACCCTGGTGTGCCATGGCAGCAGCTGCCATGCTGTCAGCGATGAGAGTGGCAGGGATCTGCTCATATACCAGCTCAAAGGCTGTCAGCCGGGCTCCCTGGTTGTAGGGCCGGGTCTCTGTGCAGAAGGTATGCTCCAAACGGCCCATCTCGTGGAGTGAGCGGATCACACCTGTCGGTACACAGGCAGACAAGCAGGGCTGCAAGCGCTCAGGCTAGTGCAGAGCACAATGCGGCTCCCAACCTCTCCTGTGCCTGACACACCATTCCCACCTCCCCACATCTTCTTCACATCTACTTTCTGACACCCGAGGTTCCTCGGTCTCACACAGCAGCCTTGCCATTCTGATCTTTTGTCCCTGTCCAGTCCATGTCATTTAGAACATTTGTTATTGTTGAGACAGGATCTTGCTAAGTTGCTTGGGTTAAGCCTTGAAATATGATCTTCTTGCCCTAGCCTGTTGAGCGGCTTTTAGCACCTTTTTTTTTTTAGATTAAAAAAAATTTTTTTATATTAATCACAGGTTATTTACTTTGTATCCCAGCCGTAGTCACCTCCCACATCTCCTAACTGCCCCTTTCAAAGTCCACTGATAGGGGAGGTCCTCCTCCCCTTCCATCTGACCCTAGCTTATCAGTTATCTTCAAGACTGGCTGCAATGTCTTCCTCTGTGGCCTAGCAAGGCTGCTCCTCCCCCTGGGTCAAAGAGCCACTGAGTTCATGTCAGAAATAGTCCCTGTTCCCCTGACTAGAGTAAACACTTGGATACTGAGCTACCATGGGCTACATCCAAGCAGGGGTTCTAGGTTATATCCATGCATGGTCCTTGGTTGGAGAAACAGTCTCAGAAGAGCCCTGTGCCCAGATATATTTGGTCCTTGTAGAGCTCCTGTCCTCTCCAGGTCATACTAACTCCCCCTTCTTTCATATGATTTCCTGCACTCTGCCGAAGGTTTGGTTATGAGTCTCAGCATCTGCTTTGATACAGTGCAAGGTAGTCTTTCAGAGGCCCTCTATGGTAGGCTCCTATCCTGTTTCTTGTTTTCTACTTCCAATGTCCATCCCATTTGTCTTTCTAAGTGAGGATTGATCACCTTAAGAGGACCCCAGGTCCTCTTTCTTGTTTATCTTCTTTAGGTGTACAGATTTTAGTATGTTTATCCTATCTTATAGGTCTAGTATCCACTTATAAGTGAGTATATACCATGTGTGTCTTTCTGTTTCTGGGATACTTCACTCAGGATGATCTTTTCCAGATCCCACCATTTGCCTGCAAATTTCATGATTTCCTTGTTTTTAATTGCTAAGTAGTATTCTATTGTGTTTTTAGCACCTTCTAATAATTTGTTTTGTGTTTGTTCTTCAGTGCTGGGCATGGGAGGAACCCATGGCAATGCATTTTGGGGGCAGGTGCTCTACAGCTGGACCACAGGCCCAGCTCCTCAAGAAAGGATTCTCAGCCGTGCCTCACTGCTTGCCCATGCCTCTGAGCCCCTGCTCATTCCTCTTTGTACTCAAGGCTGCAGGTGCCTGATATCTCTTCCATGGTTCACTACTGTGTTTTCACTCCCTGGAACAGTCAGTAGTTAATAAATGTTGGCTGAGTCAATGAATGAAGATCTGGGTTCCAAAGATGGAGTGCTGGGCTCAGAAAGACAGTGGAATGTCCTAGACACCAAAGGCAGAAAGAATCTGCTGGCTTGACCCCCTAATCTCTATCTCTTAGCCACAGCTTTTGTAGACTTACATAGTGTGTGTCACTCTCTGCTCCCCTGTCCCCTGGGGGTCAGTCAACAAACACTGTGCCCCTTCTCTAGGCATGTGGCTCAGGCCAGGCCGGGCAGATGACCCAGGAAGTTTCTAGTCTCTGAGAGCAGAACTACTTCAATCCGTGGGCAAAATGAGGGACAGGGTCCTAAGGCCATTGGTTGAACTCCTTCATATACCCGTACCTGCAGACCAGTTCCTAAGTGCTTCTGTACAGGAACTGGTCTACCAAGGGTAGGGAAAAAATAACAAAAAACCAGCAAACCAATTAACTGGGCTGAAGAGATGGCTCAGTGGTTAGGAGCACTTGCTTCTCTTCAAGAGGACCTGGGTTCAGTTCCCAACACATATGTGGTGGCTCACAATCATCTGTAACTCCAGCTCCAGGACATCCAATACTGCCTTCTGTCCTTCCCAGGCATGAGGCACATGCATGGTGCCCACACACACAAGCAGGGAAAAACACTCATATAGACATGAAAACAAAACTAAACTAATATTCACAACTCTGTAGCCAAAGTTGTTTCTTCTTTTGGGTTCTGAAGACTAAATCCTAGATCTTGTGCATACTAAGCTAAGTATGTACTCTTTTACAGTAATTATTTATTTTAAATTATATATATGTGTGTCTACATGTATGTGAATGCAGGTACCCATGGAGGCCAGAAGAGGGTGTTGGGCCCTCTGAAGCTGGTGTTGGAGGTGGCTTTGAGCTGTTCCACATGGAGACTGAGAACTTAAAAAAAGTAGCCTCCCACTCTTAATTGCTGAGCCAGCCCCAGCTAAGCAGTACTCCTGTCACTGAACTATACCCCCAGCTCTGGTTGCTTTGCCTTGCACCCAAAAAAGACCGTCCCATGCCGTGACAATTGAAGGTGCCTCCTCACCTAGGGCTGTACCATAGCCAGCAGTGGCCAGAGCACCAGTGTTACAGTGGGTCAGCACGGTCACCTTGCCACCCTTGGGGCTGGTGTGCTCTAGGAGATGGCGCGCTCCCAGGTCCCCAATGCTCTGGTTATCTCTGAGGTCCTTCTCCAACATGTCCTCGGCGGAGCGGATCACTCTGGGAACAAAAGGAGCTCTTACCACTGTTGGAAGAGACCTGGCTAGCTGCTCTACGCCTTTCAAAGTCATGGGGTTTGCCTGAGATCTTCTCTGGTGGCACACCTGACACTCTGCTCACTAGTCTGTGCGAGGCACAGCAGTAAACACAACAAAACCCTTTGCCTCCGTGGCGATGACTTTAGGGTGGGAGAGGCAATTGGGGAACTGGTATAATGAAGGGCAAAAGGGCACAATCAGGGACAATCAGTGTTTATACAGAAGGGGAAGGGAGGGAGCAGGAACTGAAGATGGAATTCTAACTCTAGAGTCTAGTTTTAGGCAGAGGCAGGCGCCATAAAGTTGCAGAAAATAAACAAACAAACATTGAGAATGAAGTGGCTTGACCGGAAGTGGGAAGGGAAAGGAAAAGTACAGAGGAAAGCAGGGGAGAGCGCACAAGATCTCAAGGCAAACCTGACAGAACCCGCGTAAGAAAGCTGGTGCGGTACTGCTAAGGGGCTGAAATCAAGGACCTGGGGAACACAGCGCAGGGATGGACCCATAGTCCTGCCAGTGGGCTTCTGGCCATGGCACACGTGTGCCTGCGTCTGCTTCCTGGTATCAGAATGAGAAAGAGGGTCAGTAGCTTCCGCGTGGTGCACTGCCCGGTCCAGGATCCGGTACCTTTCCCGCACGGTGTCCTCAGTGGCACCCTCTCGTTCAGCCTCCCGGGCCGCCACGCGAGCCAGATCTCCGGCGGCACGGGCCATGTTGACAGCGGTGGGCCGGGCGGCAACGAGGAGGCGCAGCTGGTCTCGCACGAAGGTCACCAGAGCGGCGAGCCCCGGGCCGCCGGCGCCGGCCCGCAGCTCCACGGCCAGGCTCAGGCAGCCCACCAGAGCGATGGCGGGGGCGCCGCGCACCTTCATGGCGCGGATGGCCTCCCGGGCCTGCTGCACGGAGCTCAGCGCCTCGTAGTGGCAGTGCTCAGGCAGCTGCAGCTGGTCGAGGATCTGCAGCGAGCCCGGGGAGTAGCGGATCGCTTCCAGTCGCATGGTGCCCAGCAGGCGTGCAGGTCCACACAGAATCCCATACAGGTTTTGGGGGCGGAGTTGCGTTCTACCGCTGGCGCACGCGCACAAGCCACCCTGCCACTCCAGCAATTGGTTTCTTCCGTAGTTGCCACAACTTGCCGCAAAGCCTCAGAGCTGGGAACTCCAAGGTTCTTGGTAACAGGGTTATTTTTGCCTACTGTCCATCCGTCACTGAAGCTACGACTTGGCAGCCTCTCAGCTCTGCTCATCCACAGCTCACAGATACCCAGTGCTTAATTAGTGTGTTAAACGACCTTCCTTGGACCGCTTTTATCCCCGTTTTTTTTAAAGCAAGCACCATGAGGGTCTTCTATTCTTAGGGGCTGCAGAGATTGTTCAGGGTTAAAAGTGTACAGTGCCCTTACAGAGGCCCAGAGTTAGGTTCCCAGGTGGCTTCCCGGCTGCCTCTACCCCCAGTTACAAGGGATTTGAGGCCCTCATCAGACCTCAGCGGGGCAACATACACAGGCAAATCCTTAAGTGAAAATAAATCTGAAGCCGGGTACGGTGGCACTCGCCTGTAATCCCAGCTCTCAGGGAGGCAGAAGCAGGTGGATCTCTTGAGTTCAAGGCCAGTGTAGTCTACAAAGTGAGTCCAGGACAGCCAAGGCTGCACAGAGAAACCCTAAAAACAAATCTGTCAGACTTTGATCCTAGTTCTGTGAGTCTAAGGCCCCACTAGTCTACATAAGTGAGTTCCAGGACACCCAGGAATGCAAAGAAATCCTATCTTAAAAAACAAACAACAAAAACACGGATGTCTCCATGTAGTCCAGGCTGGACTGGACCACACCTTGTCTCTAGAGCTGTGGTGCCAGGATGATAGGTATGTGCCCACCATGCCTGGTTGGAGCAGGATGTTTTTGGTTGTTTCACTGGTTGGTCATCATGAGTGGCTCACACCACGCTATGGTAAGGAGTCAGGACGTCTCTCCTGTCTACCTCTGCTACCCCCGCCTGTGTTGTGGCCCCAGCAGCCTGGCCCTCTTCCAACCTTCCTTAGGTAGTCCCTCCCACAGAAGTCAGCTCAGGCAGTCTTGACCAGTATCTCCAACCCTTCATCCTGATGTGTGGGGACCACATTGCTGCCACAATAGTGCTGCGTTGTTGGGTGGAAGTGAGGGTAGGCGGCTACTGTGTGAGTTTAGTGACCCAAGGCAGGGACCAAGAACAGGGCTTTAATGTTAAGGTGTCAGGGTTACAACCAAGGCACAGGCATCCTCACCAAAACCAAATAAATAAGAATCTGTATAGGAAGATGAGTCTGTGGCTTGGCTGGCAGCAATGGGACCTGCACCCCTAAGGTCTGGATGAGTCAGTCATGGCTTCTGGTCCTGGAACCCCAACCCCTTACTCGCTCTCGGAGTCAGAGTAGTCAGCCACTAGGGAGGCATTGGGGTTGCTGGGGTGCAGCAAGTCCTCCTGAGAGGAACCTAGGGGTAAGGCCTGGTCTCTACAGTTTCTCTTAGAGTCTGGTGTCTTGTTGGTCCTGGATGCCTTTGCTGTTTCTTGAGGTGTGTCCTGTGTAGTTCTTGGTGGCGTTCTTGGTCCTGCTGACAAGGAACTGTCTGCTGCACAATGGGGACTTTCTGGAACTTCTTGAGACCTTCTCCTTACTATGCCCAGGTCCCCTACTGTGCTTGAGGTGCTGGGGGGTGGCCTGCGGCTCAGGCACAGCTTCTTCAGGACATTGCTAGCTTTGCTGCTACTTCCACTAGATCCCTGGGCTGAAGGGAACCAAGAACGGTGGATGATCTCTGTCCTCTTCAGTCTCTGTTTGTCCTCATAGGCTGTAGGGAAGAGGGGTTATTGCACGAGGGCCCGAGGCTCAGTGGACAGAGTGTGCACAGAGCATACCCCAAGCCTTGAGCTTTCTCCTCTTTCTCCCACCTCTGTAAGCAACAGGACCCCTAGGGACCAAGTGCCCCCAAGCCCTGCAACCTCTGCTTCCTGTGAACCCCCAGCCATGTGCCAGCACTCACAGTCCAGGGTGTGCAATCTTAGCAGGGCAGCTAGCCTTCGGTCATCCTCCGACTCTGGCATGAGAGGGATGGCTAGGCTGGCCTTGGCCTGCAGGGCCTGGTCCTTCTCTTCCTCCTCCTGCATGGCTTTCTTTTTCTCCTGTGGGTGGATGCGGCACACAGGGAGAGACATCAGAACCTCACCTCCTTGAGAAGACCCACAGGCCTCAGGCCAGCCACTGGGTCTCAGTGATGCAAAGGTGGCCTCGTGTGTGGGGGCTCTGAATGTTAGCATCCTGCATTCAGTCCCTCGTGCATTCATGCCAAGAAGATGGCCATGTGTCATAATGCAACTTTGGTCAATAGTGGGCGTGAGGTGCAGCCCACTAAATAAACCGTATAAGATCCGATAAAGGTGTGGTGGCCCATGGGAGGGCCAAGTGGGGGATGGAAAGTTTAAGGCCACTTAAGCCTGAGCCATACTGCCAATTCTGGGGTCTTAGATTTTTTTCCTACCCATTTATTTTCTGGGGTTGGGGGCAAGGTCTCCCTCCCAGACAGACCTGGGATCTGCCTCAGCTTCCTGAGTGTTGTGGTTATAAGCATGAGTCACCAGGGCCAGCTTTCTGTTTTTGAGGTTAGTCTCCAACTCCTGGGCTTGGGTCCTCCCATTTCAATCCCCTGAGCAGTTGGAACCACATACAGACATCATCAAAACTGGTTCCCTGCTTCTGTGAAACTTAGCTGCCCGTGTGACAGCTGACAGGAGGCTTTGGGAAAGTGACTCTGTGAGGCCTCTCCTGATGAATGGGATCAGTGCCTTACACAGGAGTGCATGGAGAGTCTGTGTGTCCTGCCTGCCCCGTGATCCAGCAGGAAGTTCTGAGGAGCAAGACTGGGCACTCTGACACTCAATCTGTAGGCACCTCACTGCTAGCCCTCAGCTTGCACAGCAGTGAACAATACATTTTTAGAAGACAAACCTCCTAGTCTGTGGTACATTAGTTATAACAGCAAGAAGAGAGTTATGCAGGATGTGACTTGTGCTGGGAACTTGTGCTGGGGCTCAGAGGGAAAACAATCAACTTGTAGGTGGGGTGTGGGACACAGATCTGAACCATGGCTTCCCAGCTGAGCCTGCTGGTGCTCCCCTGTGGAGCTGCCCTCACCCGGAAGTGCCTGCGGAGCATGCTATTCAGAGCAAAGTCATCCTTCCAGGCATTCTGTGCCTCCTGAATGTGGCTGAGTGTGGGGAGGGCCTTCTTCAGTGTGCTGCGGTCCGCCTCGCTGTGCTCCAGGCGGAACATGGCATCTGTCTCCAGTTTCTCTTTCTTCTCGTGCTCTGCAAGGACAGCATAAGTGTGACTCTGGGGAAGCAGCCCAGGCACATGTGGGGGACAAGCAGATGGCACTCACCCGTGGTCAGCACCTGCTCATTGTCTTCCATGTCCCAACGCTCCTCCTTGCGACTGGCACCACTCACAATCACATAGTCACAGTTGGCAGGGTCCGTTTGCATCTCGATGTAGTTGACACAGAGGTGGCACTTCATCCGGAACCTGGGGAGGAACTGGAGCTAGGATGCGGTGACCCTGCCCTGAGAGCCCAGAGCCACTGTCCACTTCCTTTGCTATACCGAACCCTTCAAGGAGTCACTGAGCACCATGGCACCCAGCTCAGATCAGGGAGAACCCTGAGGAAGACAGGCTTGCATACAGATGGAGCAACCCAGAACCTGAAGACGGTGCTGGAGGTTCAAAGTACAGGGCCTGCTCAGCATGCTCGTGTTGGCTTTCCCCCAGTGTGACAAAAACCCCAACATTTAGTGCTAGGTGTGGTGGTACCCACTTGTGATCCCAGCACTCCCTAGGCTCCACAGTAAGGCTCTGTCTCCAGCTATAATCTACTATCCAGATGCTAAATCTGGCTCTTTAATTCATTTGCCCATTCCTTCCTTTGTTCATTCTTCACCTAACTATGCACCCATTCACCTACCCATCAGTCCATCTACTCACCTACCAATCAATTTATTCATCCACATGTCTGTCCACCAACCCATCTATCTACCAATCTATCCATCTACTTACCTGCCCATTGGTCCATCTATGCATCCATCTACAGATCCATCCATCTACCTATTGATCCATCCACCAATTCATCCATCTACCCATCCTCTACCTGTTGATTCTTCCAGCTATCTTGTCACCCACCTGGGCATCCTCACAGCTACGTATCCATCCATTCACTCCTCCCTCCCTCCTTTCCTCTATTAGCTATTCTGTGTCACGATGGGCAGCAACAGCTGGAAAGCTGCTCGTCAATGGAGTAAGACAGTCTGCCCTGGAAGGGCTGATGTGCCTGAGGTGAGCATGTACCAGCAAGAAGAGATGGCATACACGAAGTGATGGCTTTAGAAAAGGTCCCTTTGAGGGTAGTGTTTGAGCATCACAGGAATTGAGCCATTTAGTTTCTTAGAGAAGAGCTTTCTTTGTAGAGGGACCAGAGGCTAAAAGGCCTGAAGCAGAGTATGTGAGAGGGCTTGAGCTTTTGTTAGGGACGGTGGGAACCATGAAGGGCTGGAGGATGTTGACAGGCCAGGACGGACAGTTCTACAGAGAATAGCTCTAGAAGAAGAGGACGAGTTCCCTTCCCCTTTGAGACTCCTCTAAAGTCTTCAGCCTGTGAAGACACACCTCTCGCTGAGGGGCCACCAGATGCTCCTACCTGTAGATTGGAGTCGTGTAGTAATTGCCAACCTTCTTCTTTTCTGCATTGTAGCGCACACCTGAGGGGGTGAGGAGAGAGGCTGGGACCAAGGCACCTTAACAGCTTTGCTTTGGGTGGGGAAAAGACAAGTTTGTTTTGTTGCCTGCTGGGGCAGATGCCCTGGAAGGACACAGAAATTCAAGGTAGGAAAGAATGAAGTTTGGGAGGCACTGAAAGTGTGGACTGGAACAGGAAGGCTCAGTCAGGTTCTAATCCTGCTTCCACTGCCTCCCAACTGTGCACCTCTGAGCAAGGTGCCTCATCCCTCCTCACTTCGTTTCCCATCTAGTCAATAGAGATGATGGTAATTCTGTTTGCATAGGGCTCTAGGAAAAAAAAAATGTTGATGGAGAGCTGGATGTGGTGGCATGCCTATAACCCCAGCACTTGGGAGGCAGAGGCAAGACAGAGTTTGAGGCAAGCCTGGGTGACATAGGCAGACCCTGTCTCAAATAAATAAATACTACCTGAGTAAATAAACTCAGCTTTCACTATTCTTTTAAACAATGTCTGGCTTTTTCCTGGGAGGTAATATAGTTCCACTTTCTGACCTTGAGTGGTCCTGAACTTGCCTGGAACAACTGAGCCTGGGTGCTTCCCATGGCATGACCTGGCTGTTTTCCTCTCTGGGACAGCTGCTTTAGCTTTGGCTGGAGGTGGCCATGGGGCATCTGGGATGGTTCAGTTCCCTCAGTTCTTAGTGCTGGGAACAAGACCCAGGGTCTTAAACATGGCCTGGACCTATCTGTTCCCGCAGCAAAAGGGTACATCCTTAGGTAGGTATGAGGGGCTCATGGGTCTCTCTCTCATTCCTTAGCAGCACAGGCCTCAGCCTTTCTTTCCACAGCCACCTTGTCTCCCAGCATTGTGCATCTGGGCTGCCACCCTCGCTTCCTGAAGCCTTGCTAGCCCCCAGCAAAGCCACCTAACCCTGCTTTTCTTCCCTGGTGCTGGATCCAAATAAAGTCCCCGCCCTGTCCTGTCCTTACCCAGGATCTGGACCCAGAGCCTAACCTTCTCATTGTTCTCTATCTTGGGTACCTGCCACCTTCTGAGTTGCCCTTGGGATTGACAACATCTCCAGAGTCTCACAGCACCTTGCAGAGCAGGGGCTGGAGGGGCAGGGAGGGCAGGTGGGTGGGCGTCACTCACCCATGCCAATGTGGTTCTTGCAGCCATCACACCAGATGTTGTATGGCATTTCAAATCTAAAGAAAAGACAAGATTTGTTGTTTTTTTCCTTCTTTAAAATTTTTTTCTTACATTTATTTATTCAGCCATTGTGTGTGTGGTGGCCAGAAGGCAACTTTGATGAGTTGGCTCTTTCCTTCCACCATGTGGGTCTGGGTATTGAATGTTGTCTGGCTTGGCAACAGGTGCCTTCACCCACTGAGCCATTGCTGCCCCACCCCTTTTTCTTAAGACATATTCCTGAACTCTTGGATCAAGTGATCCTCCTGCCTTCGGCTATCTGGTATCTGGAGACAGGTGTGTACACCTGTGCAGGCCCTGGCTGGCCACTCTTTCCTCTGTGGTCATGTCCTTGCACATCACTGTCTGGCTTGTTCTACCCAGAGGAAGACTCTGGCCTTAGCCCTGGAATCGGACCTGTGCCAGGCAATTGATAGAAAAGAAGGAACGTGTGCCAGGTCTGGGTCTTGGCCTTGAGAGTTCTGGCACCTTTGCTCACTCTTTTGGAGCCATGATCCTGCTGGTCTGCTGGAAAGAAATCTGTGGAATTGTCTATACAGGCCAAGGCCCCACAGGACTGGTTGGTCTTCTGCTACCAACCCTCACCAATGAAGGAAGAAGACCTAGTCAGGTCCTTCCAAGCCAGGAAAAGACACCCAGACTTGTTATCGATAACAAATGCTTACAGTTTTGTTACGTAGCAATAGCTGACTGATGCAGTATCTTCATGCTTTATGAAATTATAACCTTGTAGCACTGGGTCAGTCAATCAGGGGACAGGAGGTTGATGCAATGTGGAGGTCTTGGAAGAAGAGGTGGGTAGTTCCTTACCTGATAACAAGGATGCCTTGTGACAGCTTCCGAGCCCGTTCTCGAAGGGGGTGGCTGTTGTGGTATCGGTTGAGAGAGCCATGCTGTACAGAGAGGGTGAGCAAAGGTAAGCAGGGCCAACCTGGGTGGCCTGTTCCCTTGCTGTTCCTACTGCAGGAACATAAGTGCCTCCCTGGTAGGAGGGTCTTCATTCTTACATCAACGTGGGAGGTTGGGAAGGTTAGTAAGGTACACAGCTTGGAGCCAGGGGCTCCTTAGTATCTGAAGGAGGCCGTGCCAGGAGCCCCTGGGAATCCCAGAGTCTACAGGAGTTCTTTATATGCACGGGCGTGCTAACTGGGTAGAGCCTGCACGTGCCCTCCAGGGGCCTTGGAGTCTTCTCTATGTGACCTGTGACACTTGTCCCTGAGGCTGTGGGGGTTGCAGGAGGCTGCTCACCTTTTCGGGGTTGAAGTCCGGGGGGTAGTACTTGTTTTGGCCTTTCCTTTCGCCCTGAAAGCAGAGAAAAACATGGGTCGGAGAGGATCATGCAGGGCCCCAGGGATATGATGAGGGTCCATCCAGTGTCTGACCGATAGTGGCAACTTGGCTGGAAAACCAGTTGTTACAGCTTGGAAAGTTCCTAAGGGCTACACATACAGTGTCTGCACATTCTTGGGGACTGCAGGCAATGGTAACGAAGTGCAGAGTCACTGACTCCTGATGGGCTGTCGTCGTCTTCTTCGTCTTCTTCTTCTTCTCCTTCTTCTTCTTCTTCTTCTTCTTCTTCTTCTTCTTCTTCTTCTTCT